TTTTTTTTTGTTTTGCGAAACGGTATAGTAGCAACTTTGTATTTTGTAATTTTTATATACATATTTTATGAGACGTTAACAAAACTCGTATCGTCGACGATGGACCACCATAGGGACGCCAATTGTGGGGCGACAATGCAAAACGTACTATTTGCGTTTTACATATTTTTCAGGAAAGGTCATTTTCTGCTGTGCATTAAATATTTGAGATATACATGTTGTGAAAATGTTTAAAAATAGATAAAAAACTATGAAATAAATTTCTGCAGGTAAAAGTATTTTAAAATGTATTTTTTGTACTTAAATATAACTTTTTAAATTTTGAATTGGATCAAAACGTACTATTTACAACAAATGGTACGTTTTGCTTTGATTAACAAAAATAGTACGTTTTGACCAATATTTTTACAAAACGTTCTATTTGCATAAATTACATTTTACAATAAATATAATTTAATATAATTATATGTTAAGAAATTAAAATACTTTGACTCAACTAAGTGTAATAATATTACACTTACTAGTTACTTGTACTTATTCAATTAAGTTTATTTAAATTAAGAAAATATATAACATATAGGGAACCGATGGTAGCATCCATATAGGTGAAAGGAATACAAGTTAGGTATAATATATTTTAATAAAACACTTTTTTAATAACTTTTAATTAATAAAAACTAAAACAAGGTAAATAAAAGATTAAAGAACACTTAAAAAAGTAAAAAAAAAGAATAATATAATATCAAGTTTTAAATATTTAAAATGTTAAAATTTATCTATAATATAATAATTAGTAATTATTATAATTGCATTAGAACAAAAATGTAGATGACTATTACTACTCTAGACAAAATATACATATAATAAATTAATAAGTTAGTATAAAATAGTAGTTTTCTAATAGGTTAGAAAACAATTTGTATAGGTGTAAGCATTACCTTATTTCTAGCAGTATTAAGAATGTTGATGCTCTGCAGCTTCTTAGCATCAACTACCTGAAGATATGAGTTATAGAAATTATAAAATAATTATTGATTATTGTATTATAGAATTGGTAGTATACAAAATATTAAAAGTTCTATCATGTTATTTTTTAAATAGTACAATAATATATATTGTTTTACTAGATGTATGTACCTACCTTGTTTTTCGCCTTGTCCATCATCAATTTTATTCTTTTCGACATGGTAAATTATAATAAATTATAATAATTATAAAAAACATTAAGTAAATAGCAAGCTGCAAGAGTAAGGTACTTTAAAAATAGAATATGTGTTATCATAAATGAATTAATGAAATAGTTTCATTGATTAGACCTTATCACTAAGTTTTGGCGCGCATAATAATTAATGTTTCAAAGTTATAAACGATTTTTTTTTTTTATGATTTAGGTTAGCACGTAGATAATATGTTAAACAAAATACGTATATCATATATTAAATCTATATAATTTAATAAAATGTAACAATAAAAACAAATTTTAAAACACAGTCGTTTTTGTAAATAGTACGTTTTGCATCAATACATTTTTAGTCCTATACCGTGTACATTGGAAATAGTACATTTTGCATTATGAATGGAAATAGTACGTTTTGGAAAAATTGATGTAATTAGCACGTTTTGACAAATTTTTTTTTACTTTTTATTACGGAATCTATAGCAAATAGTACGTTCTGCATCAAACAGTAAATAGTTCGTTTTGACAAAATGTATATTGTGCAAATAGTACGTTTTGCTTCAATTTACTATTTTAAAAACGGTTATTGAATGGGAAATAGTACGTTTTTACCTAATCTGATGATGCCAATCGATCCGCCGCCATTTCAAACATATAATTCAATGTATAACTCCATTTTGACAAAAATGCAAATAGTACGTTTTGCATTGTCGCCCCACAATTAAAATTCGAACGTAACTGACGAAAACCGGAATGGTAGGACATATTATAGATACACGCGATTGATCAACGCCCAGGCTAATTCTCGTTAAAGGTGCAAATATACGTATCATATTATATACACACGACTTTAAAATTATTTCTAGTGGCGTGTGTATATAATTAACACTAAAACATGCGTTCTTTTATTAATATCAATTGTATAGTCTATAATTATTTATGTAGTCTTCGAAATTAACTCATCGTGACGTCCACCACAGCGAATTTGAGTACTATAAATAATAATAGCTAGCGCTCATCCCGCGTGAAAGTCATTTATAATACATTATCATAAATCATAATAATAATATTTGTAATAAGACGCCATTTTTGCGACCACTGCCGTTATTGCTAAAACGATCTGCAAATAATTACTATGTATTATATACAATTATTTTAACATATTATAGCTATAATAGGTACAATATGGTATTACACTATTACCAGGCGCCGAACATGTGCACCTATTAAAATTATATCGTGAAAGTCAAGATTAGAAAATGCAGGTAACTCGGTCAATTGAAAGCGTGAATCCTATTATAAAAATTTATATTTTAAATTTTAATAATACATAGTATTATGCAAATCGTAAAGATGGTGTGCAATCGAATGAAAATAGGGTACGTGAAAAATTTCAATCATTGAAAATTATTTATTAACTACATAATACCTACACAATTTTATTGTTTTGGTTTTTGTATTATGTTCTGAGAAGTTATATAGTATATAATATCATTTGGAATGATGAATTACTTAATTAGTTTATTTTCTTTAAACGAACTTTTTTTCGACATAATTTTGTGCTATAATATAATGTCATATTTTATTATTACATATTTACTTCTAAGTGTTAAGAGTTAGAACCAAATATATGTTTCAGCTTACTATTGACCTGCGTAGTTTTTAGGAAAATACTTTTAATTTGCTGCTATATCGAGAAGTTGAGTACCACTGCATATAACTTTACAATATTTTATATTTAATTAAGTGAATATGTTATTGTACTATATTATTCTTGTACGCTAAGTATAAGTTTATTTCACTGGATTTTTTTTAACATAGGTAGTGGTCTACAACATTTCTTGCGTCAAGGGCTACAGAAAAGTACGAGTATAAAAACAATTTGAGGGACGGGGAATATATAAGGGCACCATTTTTATTAATATTTTAAAGTGTAAATTGTATAAGATAAACATATTCAACAAACTACAATGTAAACTTTACATTACCCAAAATGTTACATAAATGAACAAAATTATTTGTGATATATGTGTTGATAACACCTGATGTTATGAATGGACGGGAATCGTAAGTACCTTTATAATGGCTATTATAAATATGTATTAGAATGTTGGATCCATTTTGCGATTTTAAAAATATTTTTATAGGGATGCATAAATACTGATTGTGCGTTAAAGTCCTGTAATACAGGTACGAACAAGCGTTATTCTATCATTTTATGTACATATAATACCTATGTATAGAAAACTGTAGACATAATAGTAAATTATAGTTAAACCATGATGTTAACTTATTATTCGTAATTACTAATTTCTAAGAACAGGGACACCCTGATCTACCGGGACACAGAAAGATTCCCAATGTTCTGGCTTTTTAGCATTAGGTATACTGTATACCTAAATGGTTGGAATGCTGTCAGCTATTATATATTGATTAATTATTTGCATAAATTATTCTTCATTGCTTTTAGAAATTCTAACTTTGCAGTGTTTATAAATCAAAAACTAGTTACGTCCAACTAGAGTAAAATGTTGAGAGTTTTAAAACTTTCATATCAATTTATTACTATATCTATTAAAAAATAATATTGATAGATATTATTATAAAACTTTCGGGTATAAAATTTGTATATTCTACTTGTTTATATTATAATAATGAAATTAACTTTTTTATTTTTCTGAAACAAGAGTACGAGATAGGTATGGCATTCGCCTCGCCTCTTAGTCGAGGTGTGTTTCGTGTCAAGTGCAAATTTATACACAAAGCCGATTATATATATATATAAACATGATATAATATATTATATTTACCTTTTCAATGTCATACGTGCACGCGTGGTTTTCATTTAGACGACCTCCAATAATATTGTAAATTGTAAAAATTTATTACAAACGAATATGGAGAGCTATACATTGTGATGTTTTTGGATCTGTTGTAGCTGATTGTGAGACACTCCCGAAAAAAAAAATAAAAACCTATTCCGCATCTGACCCACTCGATCAGATGTTTAAGCCTCCGCCGTAGGAGATACGATTAAGATATTATTGTACAATATAAAATATAACTAGCATTTATGTATATAAACATAATATATAAATATATGCTATATTTATATTATCAATGTTAATGTTATATATTGTTATTATGCACCTATATGATACTATGAAATATATATATTATATGCTTAGAATATGTATAATGTATATAATATTAAATATACTATATAGCTGTCGCACATGATGTAGCTCCATAGCTATTTATAATAATAAGAGGCGCGCGCCCACGAGTCCCACGCGGAATACGCGTAATAAAATGCGACTTATATTATTTTAAATTATTATTCGTTGCCGAGCACGGTTAAGACATATGGATTGCAAGGTACTTCACACTTTTAACCGATGATTGTATGCTTTTGAAAAATCTATTACACTATATAAGAAAGAACCACAACTATAAAAGTATATAAAATCTATATGATTCAAATGTATAGTATTTTTGGTTTACATAAAATTTAATTTATTTTCATTATTGTTTCAGTCACTAATTATTTTTCGTTTTCATTAAGCCATATCAAATATATCAACACTCGAAATGTTTAGACAGATAATAGGAAGGTTTGAACGGAGGCTAAAACCGTAAGACATACTCTGAACACATATTTATTTTGTGTAGTAGTCGGTATCTGCAAATGTTAAAATACTTCGTATAATATAAAATATAAAATTAACGTATTTTGAATATTTATTTCTTTTATAATATATTATATAAGCTGTGACATTACATATTATGGCACGTGTTCCGTAATATACATATATATTATGTTTTAATCGGCTTTGCAAGGTTTATGGTGTGTAGATAACGACAACAATTTACGTTGTTTGGACGACACACACAACAGACTTATAGCATTTATAAAGTACGTGATCAAACAAACCAAGCATAATTCCCGAACTATAAACATCAACACGGAAGCCAAGTAAAATGTGGAAATGTTGGACATGATTGCCAGGTAGTAGTGGACTTTAACGATTTTATGCCTGTCCGAACAACCTGGAATTGAAAAATAAACAAAAATTACAAGATAGGTAATTTTCAACAACTAATTATTATTAATACGTATGGTAAGTCGCATAGGCGTGTGCACGTGGGCAGAAAAAGCAGTACCTATATACTGCCCCTGAACTTTTTTTCGGGTTATCGAAGGCCGTTATAAAATATTTAATTAGATATGGGCCTCAGCAAATTTTATCTCCATGAAGTTATATTTACTCTAATTATGAACATAATAGTACGTAAGAAACAATTATTATTATTGATTATAGAATTACAAAATTATCAAAATTAAAAATATAAAAATTATTATCATAATGTTAATTTAATTATAGTTAACGATTATAAAAATTAATTTGGGTTTCTGAAAAATTCATCTTATTCTGTAAGAATGTATCAAAACAATAACTAATCAATATGATTTTAATTTTGATACCTAAAATAAAAAATGTGAAATTATGGGTATAATTTCATTACAAATCTGCCAAACGGGCCGAATTATCTTTATGCTGCCTCTGAAATCAGAGTCTGAGTACATCTGTAGTAAATCATAAATATGTGGTTAAGGATAGTAATTAGTAACAATAACGGACATAACGCCTAATCATGTATTTCAAAGAAAATACGATTAAGTAAGCAGCATAATATTTAACTTATGTCCCAGGTACGAAACAACAATTTAATTATTAGTAAATATATGTCAATTGTGGAGGTCATATTTATTATAAATTTATAATAATTTTATTTATTACGTATCGCATAATCGTATCAAGTACAAATAAACGCACTCAACATGAACGACAGGATGTAGAATAACATCCCAGTGAGTCCGTTGGGCACGTTGATTGCGGAATTTTCGCCGAATATGTATCTGACGATCCCAAAACCTTTGGCGTATCTGTAAAAATAATTGAATAATGATAATTAATAATTGTAAACACTGCTTAATAAAGTGATTCTTATCAATATTGTTTTTATTGTGTGAAAATCGATTTTTTTTTTTTTTTTTTTATGCATCGTCTAATGATGCGATTACATTCGATAGTTTATGAGTACTTGTTATTGTAATATGGATATTTGAGGATAACTGTTTTGATTTTGACCTATGATATAAATGATTGATTGATAATATGGCCGCTAAATATACAAATAAGTGTCAACAACAATAGACAGTTGAAAAGTTAGTTTTAATATTAGTTTTTACTTATTATGTATTAGGAATATATTATATATTTATTTTGTATACCAATTGACTATTGTATTCAAGATAAAATTATCGCTTCGAGATTTATAAAAAACAAATATTGAATTTTTGAAATTTCAGTGAATAAAATACAAAAATCATTGAACATTTTTTATTGCTAATTAGTAATAAATAACTATTCAGAATTATAAACAAACTTTAAAAATGGAATAATAAAAATGAAAACAAAAAAAAGTATTTGGCCCATGGGGGGATCGAACCCACGACCTTCGCGTTATTAGCACGACGCTCTAACCAACTGAGCTAATGGGCCTATGTTATGCAAAGGCCGATTTTGATAATTTCAATAAGGTTCGTGAAGTATTTATGATCTATAATAGAGTTGTGATGAAAACAACAAAATAACACTTTTATATTCAAACATTAATAAATATTAAATAAAATTAATTCAGGAGTTAAGTGCATGTAAAGGTATTTTAAATTAGTAACCAATATTGAAGACGTCCTACTACAGTTCCTCTATTGCATGTCGCATTGTCTCTATCTTACCTGTAATGCATAACGATATAACATAGGTAATGAATTTTACGTTAAGAAGAATCCAATTTATTCTGTAGCATATAATATTAAAGTGAATTGATCTAACATCAAATCTTAAAGTAAGAGTATTATCCATTGCCCGACATAGGTTTTTTGATATTTTAATTTTGAACCAAGTTTTTATTCAATTTTTATTCTGCAAATAGCTTATAATTTTCTATAAAATAGATTCTTCTGAACCAAAATGTTGTTATATATATGTTAATAAGACGGAATTAACACATACAGGTACAACATTTTCTTGATATTATCAAATAAATCTTAGTACGCATTACCTGATAATTTAAAATAAACGTGGTGAACTTGGCAAATGTCATTTTCCAACTTTAAAAATCAAATTTTAATGCCATGATTTCTTATCATGTCTTTAATTGTTAAATTATTTTTGGTTATAATTATTCCACATTTGGCAATCGACATGAAATTAAAAATTACAATATCCAAATCTAAGTAATATTATGATTATTATTGTAGTTACTGTAACATATTATACCTAAAGCAAACCACTGTTGTCAAATTATTCAACATACGTGTACTACGTTTGCCTATTACAAGGCGTATATCGTGCATTTACAATTTTTGGATAAATAATATTGAATTAATTTTAATAATTATTTTATTATATTATTTACTGGATGCTATATTATGTAATAAAATATAAGAAATAATATTAAGTACAAGAATTAGTATTTATATAATTTTAATTTAACAGATTAAATTCTAATTTTGATACGAGCCTCTCGAAATCGCGATTATATATATTTTATTTTAGCATAAATTGAATAAAATTTATTTTTCTTTCATTTTGACAGAATTTAGTTAATTTGTATCAAGTATCAGACATCGGGTGACATTGGCCTTGAACACGGTCTCCAGGGGGCGCGGCATACGTTATCACTTAAATAAATAATATCAATATTATCATTGAACAATTTATTGTTGAAAATTAGTTAAAACTGTTGAAAGAACACTAAATAATAATAAAAAAAAATGCAACTATTGCAATTCAAAATTTGCTCGTTTCTAGCAATATTTGTTTACGTAAGACCCGCGAAAATCACCCGGGCAATGGATTGTTTCCGTTTTTATAATATCGTAACATCTAGCCAGATTACGGATACGGTTTTAACTTTTAGAATCCAATACTTCATACCGTAGGGATACAGTAGACCGCCCAGCTGATAAAGTGTCGTTTCTATATTTTCTTACTAAGACAATAGTAACCATGGTATAATTTTTTTACCATAACAAAATAAATATAATAATAATAATTTTATTTTTAAACTAAATTATCATTTTAAATTTTAAATTGATTTTTAAATATAGTTAACTACTTTTGAACCTATATTTAATTAATTAGTTTACAAAATTAACTATCAAATACATACTATGTCTATAATTACTTTTGAAAAACCTGTACCAAATATATCTGAATCTGAATGGAATTACAAATTACTTGAATTAAGAAGATCTTGTGACAAAAGCAGACGTTGTGCATTCAAATTAGGAAATGAATCACATAGATTAAGAAATGAGACAGGCCTAACCACTTATTGGAGTACATACCGTACCAATTCTAATATTGTTGATAGGTATGATTTTTGTTATAATTTTAAGCAGTAAAACTAACATTACTTTTATATTTTAGACAAACTGAAATAACACGCTGGAAAAATAAAATTGAATTACGGTCAACACGCTTACAAAAAGAAATTGAAGAGATGAAAATTGAAAAAAAGGAAAATGAAAAAACTTTAGAATTTCAAAATTTGAACTTTGCTGTTACTAATCATTGCTTAAGTTTAAGAGATGAAAGAAATTACGAAGATTTATGTTATGATATTGCATCTGTTGCACTAAAACACGTATACATTGCACTATTATATAAATTAAAACATAATTTGATTATGGTTAGTAATATTAGTATATAGTATATTACATATCAAGTTTATTTAGGAACAACTAACTTTGGAAAAGATGAAAATCTCAATAGCTGAAATATGTCAAAAAGCTTGGGAACAGATAAATAATTTAGAAGAATTACAAATGAATATCATCAAAGACATAGAAAATAAAAATAATACAATAAAAATAGATAGTGAGCTATTGAAAATGAAAAAAGACTCAACAAATATTTCTCTTAAACCAGATTCGCTTAGAATTCCAAAAGAGTAAGTTTTTGAATAGAAATATAATATATATAAAAGTATCTATAATTAAATTACATACAATATCTATCGTATAGTCAGTAATTATTATTTAGTTAGATTGTGTCAAAAACTAAAAACTAATTATTATCTTATTAAAAAATAGAGACGTACTAAAGTAATTCTATTCATCTATATTCTTTAGAGATCATTATATTAATTTAATAATTATTTTATTTATTTGTAAAAAATTAAAAATTAAAATTATTTTTATTTTTAATATAAGTATTTATTTAATTTTCTTTAAAACAAAACTTAAATTAAGTTATATTTTTAAATAAACTAAAAATCAACGATTACATTTTATTATTAAATTGTAGTTTATATACGTACGAAAACTGGCTTCAACAGTGTAATAATTTAATGCAAACAATTGAAAATGAATTGTTACGTTCAGAAAAAATGCGTGAAACTATGTTTTTGTTACGACATAGAATATTAAGTGACATGATTGCTCTCAATGACAAAGTTGATTTTGGTCTCCGAAAACGGATTTACGAAACAGAAAGAGCCAAGTATGAACTAGAATGGCAAAAAGCGAACGTAAGGCAATTTATATTGTAGAATAAGCATTCTTAGTATAAAGAATTTTCTCTTTTTATAGATGTTATTAGACATGGAGACACTTGTAAAAGAAATTAATACACTCGAAAGCGCTTTGGATGCAAAATTAAATTCAAAAATGTTAGTCGAGACACGGTGTGAAGGAAGACTATATAGAGATGGAATTGAATTGTGTCATGATAAACCTACTTTTGGATTGCATAAAGAAAATTATTTACTCGATAATTCCATCAAAATGTTGAACAACAAGCTAATTCAAACAAAGTAATATCTACCTAATGGGCTAATTAAACAAAAATACGTCTACATAGTACTATAATAATATGATAACTGTCGATTTTTTTTTTACAGGGCTATGCATAATGTTCTTATAGGACACCTGAAAATTATAGAGGAGCAATTGAGGAATAAGATTCATACGTTAAATGTCGACCAAAAATGTCTACAGCACAGAGCACAATTAAAAGACCCAAATCGTAGTTTATAGTGTAAAACTAAAAAAGTTAAATGTATATTATTTGTTCCCTCCCGCCAAAACATACCTCTCCTGCTGAAGTTCAGTACACCATATCCAAACTCCCGCGAAAAATGTTTCCTGATTACGATTGAATAACTTCAGAAATACTAAAGCAGCTTCCGCAAAAGTTATCGTTCTGATAACTTATTTATTTAACTCAATGCTCCGACTATCCTACATCCCTATTCTATAGAAGTACTCTTCTATCATACTCATTTTCAAACCAAAAAAACCACTTGGCCTTCTATCATCATATAGACCTATTAGTCTACTCCCAATACTGTCAAAAGTATTTGAAAAAATTCTAGTTAAAAGAATTCTAAATATTATCGATGAAACAAAAATCCTACCAGACTCACAATTTGGTTTTCGCAGCAAGCACTCTACAGTCCATCAAATTCATCAAATAGTTGATAAAGTATCTTATTTTCTAAAAGAAAAACAATTATAGCAAAAATCATACCTATCAACAATATTAGAATTGGTACGTTATGTACTCCAATAAGTGGTTAGGCCTGTCTCATTTTTTAATCTATGTGATTCATTTCCTAATTTAAATGCACAACGTCTGCTTTTGTCACAAGATCTTCTTAATTCAATTAATTTGTAATTCCATTCAGATTTGGTACAGGTTTTTCAAAGGTAACTATAGACATAGTATGTATTCGGTGCCCCTGATAGTGTATATTGCTGCTGTAAAATTATTCATAATTCATAACAAATAAAAAATAACAAATATTTGAACTAAAAATAAAAAAAAAGTTCTTTATTTTAACAATTCAGTAACAAAATAGCAAAATATGATAAAATATCAAAGATATTAAGTATGTTTTATCATTATTATTTGGTTATCGATTAAAATGAACCACTATTGAAGTTGTTTACATTTATGTTATTTATTTACTGCGAATAAACGCTCATAGGCTCAAGTACCTACAATACAATATATATAAAATTGACAATGAATGATATGTAATCGATAGCTTTGTGACACAAGTTAATTACTATTTTGAAATTTTATAGGCATTTACTGCTGTCATAAAATTAAATGTTCTAATAAAATGATAAACTCATTAAATATTACAAATAAATATTAGTTTTTACCAATACTATAAAATTTATTTACTTATTTCACTTGTCTATAACTAAATGTAAATAGTAGTGAATTAATTTAGAAAAATATTGGTTAAATACTGAACTCAATTATATTATTATCGAACGTGATCCATGTTAATTCCCCTCCTTAATGTACAGAGATTATTTTACAATATGTACAAGGGTACAAAGAACACAATTTTTTTGTAAAATATTGTATAATATTGTTATTTAAAAATTAATAACTTACGGTGAAATAAATGCTGGAGAACACTTGACGTATTTCCTGAGGTCACACAGCGGCTCAAAACCCGGATCATTTTCCAGCGAGATTTCCACATACAGCGCGTACGTGGCTACGCAAAAACCGATCAACGCGTACACTTTTATGATCCTATTGACCGTACCGAGCTGGACCATGTTTCGGCAAGCGTGTCGTCCCTTCGTATACACTAACAGCAACTCAAGCACTTTGCTCATTCAGCCCTCTTACCATTACCTATTATTGTGTTTGGTCATCTGTGAAATTGGTTTTATGCAAATACCTAAATGGCGCGTTACTTACACTGTATTGCACTAATTATTATATTTTATCAGTGTCTGGGTCATATTATTATTTGGATCGTCCCGAAATGATGACGAATTTAAACGTATTATTAATTTTTTCGGTTGTAAAAAATTAAATTGTACAAAAATTCAACGCCGACGCCCTATTTTATTTTTTTTTTTTTTTTTTATATTGTAACATAAACGATACATAATCAATCCTTAGATTTTCTAAAATATATTTAAATTTAAATTTAATGAAATTAAATATTTATACTGTGCAATGGCCTATACAAGGGGAGTATTTGAGAGTCAGATAGGTTAGGTTATAGGCCTATTTTTGAATTTTATTAAATAGTGTTTCTAGTGTATTAGAGCGTTATAATAAAACAAAACAAAAAAAAAAAAAAAGTAGCTTGGATCATTGTACATTTGATTTCGTCACAACTAAAAAAGGCACACTGTTAAGTTAACGACTAATCAATAATCCAGTTATAATTTTATATTAATTTCACATAATATATTTTTATATAATAAGTATAATATTATTACAAGAATAAAATTTGACCTACCGGCGACCGCGCGCAGACAGTCACCACGTTACCAATAACAACACTGCGACGACGACCCCCACATGTCCGTTGACTAATAATAGGTACATTTTCCTTCTAGAATTTAAAAATGTTTTAAGAAATAAGAATATAATATATTTTTTATATTATTTATTATTTTAATATGCATTACTTTAGGTCTAAATTTTTTCCGGATTCCCCCTCTTTTACTATACAAAAATTACGCTATTGGTACTGTGTGACGTATTTTGATCAAGAAATGTTTGGTTTATTAATTAACCATTTAAAAAAAAAAAAAATTGAAGAGAAATGTTTCGTGAATCTCCTTTTATAGTTTCACCTGACGGAATTTGTCTAATACGACGCGTTTTGATTGTTTTGGTTCTGTGTACTTGCAATCGTTATAATTGTTATTCAGTTTATGGTCCCCTTAAAGATATTCTTTTATAATATCATACGATAGGCATACACAACTAACCCAACAAAATAAATTAAATTTTTTATCAAATTTTATCGTGTACAATATATTCATATTATTAATAATAGTGAACATAAACATAAAATATTAAATTTTTCCTGTACTCACATATACAACAACGGATGGCAGTATTGGCAAGTATATACGTTCACGCGGACGCGTTGAGATTCCAAATTGTACGGCCAAATGGTGTATGTACCTATAGCAAACAACTGTACTTACATATCTGATGAGTGAAGACTGATATTTTTGCTTGCTATCGCTGTGGTGACTACAAATTGGTGGTTCGTCCTACATTGTAATTTTAAATACATCGAGTAAGTTTGGCTGAGTTGTGCACCGAAGACAGTTGTACGGGCGCTAGTCATGATGAATTTTGAATGGAATTATATTAATATTTATGCGCATATAATAATATAAAAACTATCACATATTTTCTATAAAACAATGTAGGTATTATAATATACAATAACTATTTAAAATATATTTAATTTACTATTTATATAAAACGTCGAATTTGTTACGTGATTTACCCCGAAAACCATTTTCATTTTACGTCTCGCAGTTTTTATCAACACATAATCATATTTTATAATATAGCAAGAGTTTTGTTTTGAGTATAGTTTTAAAGTAAAAATTAAAATGTTATTCAACACTGGATATGTAGTTATTTATTTACCAAAAATAATATACAAATGAAACTCAATACGAAAAAGTCAGATACCTATTATTTTTTATAAATAGCTGATATAGTAAATAACTATTTGAAGTGGAACTTTTCACTTAAAAGTGCAATATTTTATGAAAGGACATAAGCTTCAATGTTTCAAATTATTCAAAATACCTACATGATGCTAATAATTTTTAAATTATAGCAAAAATAAAAATTAAAATTTAATTAATAAAATTGTAGTACGGAGGCCTCTACGCTTGTTTATATTTACCTTGTTATTTACTTATTTTTTTTTTTACTATATTACTTCCTCGATTGTTCTTATTGTTCTTTTTGTAATAGATTGAATAAAACATTTAATAAACAAAAAAAAAAAAATTAACAAAAAACGAGTGTCTTTTTAATTGTTTATTAAAAAGCGATTTTTAGCAAGATTTTAATAGATTTTTCTTACATTTTATTAAAAAAAAAAAAAAAAACAAGAGAAAGTGCTAAGTATTATCGCCCAAAAACTAACATATTTCGATTTTGCCCAAACTCAAAAACAAAATTTGTTTTCCCCCATACAAATAATATTCGTTATAAACAATGAAAATATATGGTTACTAAAAAATGACCAGCATGCCCATAATCTATACATGTGATTTGTTACCGGAAACACGTTAAACTCAAATCTATCTGCCTGAAAAATGATCACTATTAATAATGTGACATAGCCAATTTATAATAAGATTACAAGTAATATTATCTTCTTCGCTTCACTCTATAGAGTCGATGATAATAACATACGCCAAATGAACAGTAATTCTTATTATACTGTTTTAATATTGACATATTTCGGATAATGATAGGATTTCATGTGCACGAGCACGATGCCGGAAGCTTCACGTGTATTAGCGCTTGCTCCATAGTCGCTCTGCAGATCAAGTGAGTAATCAGTATGTCGGATTTTCCAACAATAATCATCGTATATTATTATAGCTAGTTATACTTGTTGGGTGTACCAACTTAAATTCCCGGAATGATATCCAATCGTTGTTCATCTCTGTTTTTCAGTACATCATAATTCACAAGGTACCCAGTAATCGGATATCTATATCCAAGAAAATTGTTTATTATAAATAAGTGACTGGGGGATGAAATGATTGACGTCGTAACACTAATTTAACGTTAAAAAAAATATGTAAATAAGTATAGTAAAATATAAAATTATGTATATTGATAATCATGTCTATGAATTTATCAAAACTAAAACTAACCTTTACATTATTAACAAATAATTACGAAAAGTGTTGTTAATTTACAATTTAAACACATTGGTAAATTGTTCACAAAAATCTAGAAAGAATTTTAAAATAATTTATTTGAACAATTTTTTGGTAGATACTACGTTTGTTTTTTCTAACTCTGTATAGGTAGTATAAATTTTGATATAACTTGTAATTTTTAAATGACTTACCACTCAAGTTCGAGTACCTATATCGTATTGGACTATGTAAACAAAATATTAAAAATATTTAAACGTATATTTTCCTTGATGAGCTTGCTTAACTATATTATACACATCTAGGACGATATTATGTTTAGTCTTAATTCAGCCCTGCTAACTTGTACATACTTCGTTTGATTATAATGCTTTTGCGTACCACAAATTCTTACTATTGCATATACCATAAATCGTGATGCACCGCAGTCCACAACATTAAATATAATTCGTTCTGTCCAAGAATTTGCAGAAAAATACTGTCATCACGTATACAATATTGATGTCGATGAGCTTATAAAAAACTTAATATGTTTACTAGTTTACTTAGTACCAAATAAAAAATATATATATGTATGAGTAATTAGTGGTCGTTATTCGCGTTCCATCTTTATGGCCGTGATTACCCTCTCCTATATAATATGTAAGTTCTATTCGCAATAACCGGTATAATCGCACGTTGGTTTGGCTCGTATTATATTGATTTTTACTTGTTAGTTGATTTCTGTTCATTTCGGAATCACACTTATTTAATAACTGCTTAAGTTTTCAAAAAATTTCTGGTATTAGTATTATTTTATTACAGCATAATATACAATATTCTTCTAACTACTTCAAACTAACTATCTCGTGCTTATATTATTTTCATATCATCCAACAATAAATACAATATTATAATTATATTTGCTCAATTTTACGTTAAAAACAATTTTCCCAAAAACTTTTGATACATTTTAAAGTTGTATATTTTGTTTAAATTTTCATTGTAAAATGGCTGTAAATATTAGTTCGCCAGATACAATAAACAATATAATGACCACTCAACTGGACTTGGAGGAATTAAAACTCAACATCGACAATATGTTTTTAGTTTTAAATGGAATAATTGTATCCTGTGAGTATATATAGATAAATGTATTAAATTATATAAGTATAAATATATTATTTTCATAATGATATTCATAAAAAAAATTTTTTTGTTGAATTAATTATAATAATTGTTTATTTTTATTAATTTAAGTAAAGTAAATATTAGAAGCGAATTGATTAATGTATGCATATTGTTATGTATTTGAATCAATTATTTTTAATGGTCGTTTGAAATTTACAATGTGAATAGATTTTTCAAGTAGGTATTATTGTTTTAAAAGATTATTTCAGGATACTTTGTTTTTAATAATAAAAATTTATAGAATATTTATTAACTACATTTTGTGTATAAGAGTGTAATGTAATCTGCAAAAAATTTTCTAAATTTTAGAATTCAAATTTGGTATATATTCAATAAAATTTATGGTTAATAAAAAGCTTGCATAGTAGACGAGCCTAAAACACATAAAATATAGTTCTTAAAACTAGGGATCAAAGTTTTCAAAAAAAAAAAAATTGGTTTTCTAAAAAACCCTTTGAGTATTCAGAGGTTTTTCGGAAAATTGAGAACATTTGGTTTCGTTTAAAGTTTTCAAAAAAAATTATATTAGAAAAAAACCCGGGATTTTTCGGAAAAATTGTAAAATTGTATGAAAAAAATGGTTTAAAATTTTTTTTTTAAAGATTTGAAAAAGTAATATAAAGTGGAAAGGAAATACAATCTAATAAATAATGGTAAGTCGATAATCATAATTCATAACAAATAAAATATTAATATACTATCACTTAGAAGTTAAAGTCTGTATTGTGGATGAATCTTGTAGACTCTATATTTTATTTATAAATTATTATAATTTGTACTATTATTTATTAAGTAAGTATTTAGTATTGAGTAGTTACTATATAGTTATTAATAGTTAATCGTTTATTTAATAGTATAATGCAGTGATACGTACCTATGTCGTATTGACAAATGTAAAATAACAATGACAGGATTTTTATCTATTTTTTTAATTAGGATTTTTTAAACTTCGATTATTGTAATCGTTAATATGGTTTTTTTAATTTTCCGAAAATTTTGGATTTTTTTCAGAAATGTATTTTATATTTTAATATTCTTCAATTTTTTTATATTTTCCGAAACTCGGGAAAAAATGGTTTTTATTTTTTTTTTTATCCTAGATTTAAAAATAAGATAAAAAATAAAAACACATTCCCGTGAATTTAATATGATATAAAATATAGCGCAATAAGACGTATATTGGTTTTAGTAAATCCCAATCCGCGGGCAAATTAACGTCAGTATAATTCAACTGAAATGGGAAAATTAACTGTGGTGATATACTATAGCACTTGATATATTTTCGAAGTAATTAAGTAATTTTTGAACATATATTATATTAAACATACTTTCATTTTTATTTTTATAATAGTCTCTTTTATTGTAACCTTGATTTTCTTGACTCAAAAAACTAAATTCATGTATGAGCTATCCTATGGTAAATTACAGGACTTGAAAATATACTCCATATAAACGTACGTTTAATTATAAAATGTACGTATGTATAGTATGTACTATATATAGTATACCTACACATTATGGAGAGTCATTAAAATGTTACGTTACTCGAAATAGTGGTCATATAATAAATTATAAGTAGCTATCAAAGTAGGTACCTACATACATATATAAAATAGGTAATGCAAAAAATTTAAATGACCTTGTATAATTTTAAAGCGATTTTGTACTTGAAAGTTTTTTGAACATATTGGATAACGAATATATTAAATTTTCAAGGATGAATTTTTCTTTTTAAATATTTTATCGTTATTTTTGTAAAACGATACCAATGTGTAGTTATAATAAATATTATGGTACCTGCATGTACAAAATTAAAATATTCCAAAAAATAATTCAAAATTACATACGAGTTGAAGCATTATACTGCACACTACATACATAACTACCTATTATTTATTAATTTAAGCCATTGTATGAAACAAAAATCCCATTCCAAATCCAAGATGTAGTTCGATTAATAAAATAAATTAAATAGTATCTGACAATTAAAAAGCCTGTTTTAGATTGGTAAAAGTGTGCAAAAATTAAATTGTTTTGTAATTTATTTTGTTATTTGCATTGATACAAGATTGCACCTACACTGATCTACACAATGTAAAAAAATAATAGTAATAACTTGAACTTAATATGTACATAATACATTTTATCAATTGCCTACTTTACGATTATAAACAATATTTACTTTATGAATACATATTTTGTTACATTCGTATTATCTGTCTCAACTAAATTTCTTGCAATTTCATAACATATTATTAATATATGCAAAGCTGTAGGTTGTCCACTAAGCGTGTAAACTTACCAAAAAATCGTTTAAATACAGCAACTTCTTTAAATGTAATAGAAATGTACACTATATACATACAATACAGCGTATTTTATTGCTGTTCGACATCGCTAACAACAAAAAATATTAGATAATATAATTCAACAAGTAACGATACATCAATAATTATTTATTTTATAATTCAGTTTTAAATCTATACAAGTGACTTGATCACGTAATCACGTGAACACAGTAAGTGCATTTTTATTTGATGCCCTATACATTTGTACAATGAACTCATGATTCGTATACTTAACGGTGTTTATTACCTACTTTAAGCTTTCTTACAATATTATAGATCAGGGACGGTCAAACTTTTTTCGGCCGCGATCTACTAAAAATATACTTTACCTTTGAGGATCGACTTTGATAAAAAAGTTTTTATTATTATTAAGTTACTATACCACCATAATTAATTTTCGTGAGCGCAGCCTAAAAATAAATTCTAGCACGATCGACTTTAAAATCGTTGCGATCGACTGTTTGGCCGCCCCTGTTATAGATACTCCATAAAATGATATGGTGCAAAAATCATCAGTCCATTTGCGGATTAGTGGCAGGGTTTAGAGACTGGCCATCTCAAGTATATAATTAGCTCCAACTTTCTCAGTTATTTCTAATTTTATAATATGTATAAGGTATATTTTATTCACGTAAATGATAAAGCTTATGAAAAAGTATAGATCTGAAGCTTTGGTTCCTCCAAATAAGTTTATCAAGCTTATATAGTTACATCATACTAGTCATAAATCATAATAGTCATTACAAGCATTGCACATAATTATCTAAACATTCAAAACTAAACATATCATGATTGGATTAGTGAATTTGATCATTCATTATTGTCTTTTGTTAGATTTTCTCCAATGAAAAATTTTTACATTTTCGATCATAAAATATTTAAAAGTATTTTCTATTGAAATTTAAAGCTTATTAAAAATACTCCTTTTTACTTTTTAATCATATAATATTTATTTCATTAACTACAAAGACTAATCATTGTACTATTGAAATAGTTAATAATATTAATGACTAGGTAACGAAAACAATAGTGTCTAAATAAGGCATCGGTCACGATCCAAAAGCATCATAATAATCTCGTTTGCTAACAAATCTAAGTATTAAATGTTAAAAATCAAACCGTTGGCCGAACGATAAGTTGTCATATTATTAAATATAATATTCTATAGATACAGTGTATTATGTAAAACTACTTGTAGTGGTAACAATGTATCTATATACCAGCTATACCTGCCTCCTTAGTCACTAAAACAAGTATTGAGTTACTATATAGTAAATATATTGTTATAAATATAACCGGTAAAATGCACTAAAAACTAACGATTGTTAATTAAAGTCAATTGTTTTATGACAGCAACGATGAAGTAAAAATACTCGTATGTATAACGCAATAGCATTGGTATATGTACTCAGAAATTATTTCCGCGGTATTTCATATCTAACAATAACACGAAAAAGCATGTTGCCGGGAAAAATTTAATTTAAAATTTGAACAAAATAATATATTCAATATACACTGTTTATCTTTTTAAAGATAAATTTATTAAATTCAATCACTTTACATGACTCATTTATAGAATAACTATCCTGTAATTGAATAAAATAAATACGACTGGGTATTTACGTATTTGGTTGCAGCGTCATTATATATACGGTTGATTCATTTGAGTAATGTCTATCATGTCGCAAAATAACATAATATTTAAATATCACAAAGTAATAAAGCTAATGAAAACGAGAAGACATGATTAAAAATGACAATATATGCTAATAATATAGAAGATATTATTTTCGCGTTTTTTTTTTGCTGTATACACTATTTCACAGGACATGATGTATTAGATTTTAAAATATTTCCGCGTACAAAAATAATTTGATTTCAAATGTTAATCCAAATTAAGCGTTATTTACTCTACTCAGGTATCGCTGTGAAAAAAATAATAGATCTTTTTTGGATTCCTTTAATTAACGCGGGTTATTTTTTCGTAAAAGCTTTTTGTAAAATAATTTTATATTTAACGTAATTGTAAAATATTATGGTTATCTGTGTCTGTAACATGAGGTTATAGAGTAAATTTAATTTAAGAAGCAAAATATATTTTAAGATGTAATAAACATATAAAAAAATTTATATGTATATATTAATATATTATTTACAAGCTAGCGGCGATATGAATTTTTTAACACGCACATGTTTAATTGTTTCATTGTTGGTTTTAAATTTCTTTATCTGTGTAAAGGTTTTCTCTGTGCTATGGATATTCAAAAATGTATAATTTATTCTACAAGGAAAAAATGTTATTTTTATATCACCATAGTTTTCTATCGATTATCACAGTACAATATAAGATGTTTCGAAATATAACACTTAGTATGTATATAATAATATTATACACCTATCTACACGCAATATTCAACTATAATTTTACTCGTATTTCGTAATTATATCTCAAAAATTGTAATTAAGAGGACGCTGCACCCGCATGTATTATCTCTGTCTTACATACATACAGCATAGTAAATTTTCGTTCAATAGAATCCAATTTATGTTGTTAGCTTTAACATTAGAATAAATTTACCTATTATCAAACTTAAATGTAAGAATTTTATCCAAGCAATGACATAGGATTTAATTTATATTTTTTTATATTAAGCCGAGTTATAGCTGTATAAAATATTGAAACTTTAAAATACTCATAACTCACTTTAAAACTATAATATTAATAAAAGCCTGTCATTGTCTAGATAAAATTCTTACATTTAAGTTTAATAATAGGTAAATTTGCCCTAATGTTAAAGCTAACAACATAAAATGGATTCTGTTGAACAAAAGTTTGCTATATTGTATATATGTAAGACAAAAACAACACATGTGGGTGCGACATTCTCTTAATCAATGCACCTACATCAAAATAATAACAATAATTAATGAATTCTAATAAAATTATTTGTTTTATTATAAAAATTATATGTTCGTGTACCACCTAAACATCTTGAAAATGTTCATGTACCACTTAATTTAGTAAACTCTAATTTTCATTTTGCTTATAAAAAATGTATACATTATCATCTCTGTATAGAATATTAGCATTTATTGAACAAAAGTAAAATTAAGTAGGTATGTACAATTTATTAAGACATAAATTAACTAAGCATTGTAACATTATAAAGATTATCGTTTATATAAATTTCTATCTTTAATGTGAGTAAAACTAAGTGTTTGGTTTATTTAACCAAATAAATGAAATCATATTTTATGTTATGATAAATATTTTTTTTCTTTACGTACCACCCTTGAGCTTTCTGAGTATCACTTTTAATCGCGTACCATAAATTGAGAAACGCTGGATTAAAATATTACTATTTACTACACACTCATCAATTTCTTATTTCTTAATTATATTATTTTTGTTCCGTATAAGGTTAGATAATATATAATATTTACATATTAACAAATAGTAAGTTCATATAATAAACGTATTTATTAAAATAATTTGTATGTCAAATACTATTTACTTACGAATTATTACGTTTATCAATATCCTAATTAAATAATTTAGTTCCAATTAGACCATATTATTATTGAAGTATTTTATTTTCTGAAATAAATTAGTAAGCATTCAAGCATATCTTACTGTCTTGTTGAAAATTAAATCAGTAAAATTTAATTACTGTGGAATATAGCATCAATTGATAACCATTAAAAAAAATCTCAAATTTTTAGGATTTGAAGAATTATGAAATATAGACTCTTTTTTATCAAAACTTTTAAATTAGTTTATAAATATTTACTAATTATTAAGATTTTATAATCTTATTTTTTTATATTGGTAATATTATACATTTGTATAAATTTATTATATATTTTTATTATATTTAATAATACTAATTTTTTTATTATTCATGTACACGCCTTAAATTTACATAGTCTCTGGCGATGAGTACAGTAGGTAGGTAATCGGCGATAGGAGTATTTTGCAGCTAAGCGACCCTGACCGAATTTATTGACCTATTTTTTTGAGATACATTAAGTGATTCCATATGTCAGTTAGTCAAATTTTACCATATTTACTCTACTGGACAATTGATATCATTTCTTGATAATAATTAATAACAAAATAAAACACTAATAATCACGGAAAACATAATAGTTAAGCTATAGATACCTTTATTGGATTTTGAGAAGTTTGAACTTCAAAGTGACTAAATCGTCAATATTATTTATTACTGAGTAATAACTTATTGTAAATTAATTTGATAAAATATTTATAACATCAATAATAGATGATTATATGCGGAAATATTTCGTTATTTTTCAGAAGAATTATACATATTTAATCAAAAATTTGTATATTATATACAAACCAAAAACAAAACAAAAAAAAAAATTTAATATTTTACAGCACAATTTATCTAATATTAGTTTAACATTAAAAACGCGTTCAACAATAAACATTAAAATACATTTTTCAATAACAAATAATTACTTTGTATATTTATTGAAATATCGTATTCAAAATATTATTGGGAGTTTAAAATCATTTAATTCCCTCAATTATATTTTTATTGTCAAAAATTATGATTTTTGTGACTATTAACTACGTATGTTCAAATATCCGTACATCTATTTAAGATTATGAAATCTTTAGGCTAAAGAAGATTTCACCCGGCTGTGATTTATACTAAAATAGACCTATATTTTTTCAACTGTACTTATTTTTCTAGCAATCTTAAGTATATTCCAAAAACATATATAAGTTCATCATGAAGTTTACTTGAAAGCAAAATAATTGAATCGCAACTTGACCAAGGACTTCCACTTCGAACAGACTCATAATTATAATTCGATACCTATTATAATATATTAAATGAAGTAAAAATTTTTTGTTATGATAAATATTTTTTGGCAAATACAAATACAATATAAGTAGTATGTGGGTAATTACATAAAAAAATAACTTATGTAAATAATTAATAACTTACAATAGTTATTTGTATATATTATATATTATATTACCTATTTACCTATATATTATGTTTATGTTTACTTATAAAAATTCCTACGATTAATATTCATTGGATAAAATTATTTTCATGTAATGAATAATAATAATATCATTATAATGTATACTATCAAATATATATATAATAATGTACGTACTATATATATTTATTATTTAACCTACATATAATAATATTATAGAGTGTATGCGGTATGCCAGCATCACCAAAGATAAAAAATATCAATGTTCCCCGTGTGGTAAGCATACTCACACTAAATTAATGATCGTTAAAATTTTAACAACTACTAACCCAAATATGAATTAATACACGCCACGCACGCACGTACTATACAAATTGCCTTCAAATTGCCTATACCCAGATCCTTAAAAACAAATGGTATGGAATTTTTTAAGTATAACATAAAAGTTTCTAACATTAGTCGAACAGCGTGTGTAATTAATTATGTATAATATTATAAACTAAAAATATTATACAATATTATAAATACAAAAAAATAGTATTTTACTTGACTATTTGAATAATATTATTTGTACAAAAAATGTGAAATAATGTTAAGTTAAATAATTTGAAAAGATGAGATATAGATAAAAAATATTAGGTACTTTTATTAAGTTATTACTTAAACAGTTTATATCAAAATGATTAAGATTGCTATTGCTTAATCATACATAGAATTCGACTATACACGATAATCTTTAAACTTCGATTAAATATAGTTCATTAGTTATGCTGTTATAGATATTAAAATGAAAACACAAGTTTCTAGTTTCGTTTAAATCCACCGACAAAAATAATTATATATTATTATATATTTAAATATTATAATAAAGATCTCACCTTGCATTGTATACTAATTTGTAATTTGTGTGTGAACGATTACGATTTACGAGTAATTGATTAAATATTGTTTAGATGCTGATGTTGTATATATTTTATAGCTGAAATACGATAATTAGGCATATCTTTAACATAGTATAAGTACATAGTAATAAAAAATATCTATAATAGATACGTAGATAAATAATACGTATTATTATTGGTAAAATATGATAAAAATAATTAGGGTCAAACGTATCTGAAACGTGATAACTGTAATGCGCATCGAATACAGCACTTACCTATATGCTATAATAATATTATATACATGCGAGTCCGGTGCTCAGGTAGTCGGTAAAGTATATAAAACATATTTTATTTGAAGTAAGCCGCTATCGAAGTCGACAAATACAATAAAAAAAGCCATGTAAAATAGGATATTATATACTTAAACGTTAAATTAAATAGTATTGGAAGTATAAAATGATTTAACATGTTCTTATTAAATGGGCTCTAATTCTCAAATACAGCGATTGTCACAAAAGGTACTAAATATATAAAAACGAATTAATATGAAGATAACTTTTATTGCAGCTATTGAATGTTGAAATGTAAATAGGATTATTGTAATTATTTGGAATTCATGAAATAATTGCAATATAATATATTATGTTTATGTTACAATTTTTGTATACTACCAATATGACCAATAAAAAATGCTAAAGAATTTATTGATAAATTATGTCAATGTTAAATATATGCTTAAAAAATAAAAAAATCTAGAAAAATATACAATGTATAATCCATAATAATTACTTGTGTACCAATTACATTATTGTAAAATAAAATAATTTCTGTGAAATGAATCAGGAATATTTTTCTTTTTTGAAATATTGTTAAATCCTGCAGGTGATACGCTTTCGGTATATCATGAAAGTAAAATTAAAGTCCCAACTCTTATACGTTTTTTATTGAATCGTGATTTCATTTTAAATATACAATAAAGTAAACAATATAAAACTAAAGTTCAATGACAATTGTAATATGTTTGTCAAGCAAATGGACAATTTTTTTAAATTAATACTATAAGTATTTCTATTGAAAACTATATTTATTCTACCATATAAAAATAATCACTTCATGAAAATTTAATTAATTATATAGGCTTTTTTATCATCGTTTGAAAATCAAATAATGGAAATAATTTTAATAAACTCGTAAACCATAGAATTATATTCAATAGAAATATTAAAATATCATATTTAAATGGTATATAATCTATACAGTTTAGTATATATTATATTTTATATACATATATACATATATATTATATTTTATATACATATATACATATATATTATATATAATATGATACAAATATTACATACATATATTATACATAATTATTATATTGATGGAATGTTAAATTTTTGACAGTTATGCAAGTCGGATTTGCATGTTTAGAAGCTGGATGTGTGCAGCCCAAAAACGTGACTAACATTTTGATGAAAAATATATTGGATTTATGTAAGTATAATATTATAGAATTTATTTTATACTTTCGTAAGTACATACCAACAATATACAACACAAAGTTTATTGACAATTACGATTATTGATCACATATGACATATTATAGTATATTATAATATGTATTGAAGCATATATCTTTACTTATGGTCATATTAATATTATCCATAAAACAATTGTTGTGAAGAATCGTGTGTAACATATATTTTGACGATAATAATGGTTATATCAGATCATGAATTTTATTGAATGCGTAGTTAGAAACGTAGATACGTAACGCCAATCGGATGCTTTAATAATTTTTCAATTTTTAGCACGCCATTACGATTATTAGAATAATTTGTCATTAATTAACTATTACATAGAAAATATGAAATACAATTTTAGTGTCTTAGTGTCACTAATAACAGTTTTTAAGATTTTGAATTTCAAGAAATAATCGATTACCATACTCTACCAATTTTTTGAAGGCAGGTATTGAAGTATATGGTATATCAATTGGAGAGAGATGGATTGTGTATTCGCATTATTTATTTATTTTTTTATTAAACGCTTTCATTGGCTTGCGAAAAATAAAATGAAAGGATTGATATCCGCTTTAAAATTTTTAATCTGATAATGAATTTTTCATATTTTGAGTTTTGTTCTTTTTTTTACTTTTTAAATACTTTTTGGTTGATCCGACCATTAACCAACTATCAAAAGAAAATTGAAATCAGTGATGTACCTATAATATTATAATATAAACAATAATAAAGAGATATTTTTACATAACACGAATAATGTGACTGTTAGTATAAATTACAACCATCAATTATGATACACTAACTGTCTAACTAATAAAATTCCTGATCATTAAATTATGTTATTTAGAAGTCGTAAAAATTAATAATTTCCCATCTAAATATAATAATAAAAAGAAAAGAAATTTTAAAATTTGCACTCCTATATATTTATATTTTAAATCTATCATTTATGTATTTCATAATATGTATATGAATCATACAATAGGTACCTATTGCTACCTATACTGCTACTGTTATAAAGTAAAATATAGGCCTGATAATGTTTCAAAAATAACATTTTGACACCAACAACTAAAAAACTGCAGAAATGACATGCCTGGACTGGTACACGAACTGAATAATTAAAATATTAATAAATTTAAAGTATATAAGTATATATATGTAACAGAAAAGTCGTAGCAGTTAGGTACTTTCGTAAATGTTGGCATAAAAAAGGCTTCCCCGTGACGGTTTTGCGTTTTGTCGTGTAATAAATCGCAATAACTTAACAATATTTTAATATTTTATATTATATTGTAGTCATTTGCGCTCTATCATACTGGCTGATCGGATATGGGTTGGCGTATGGTGGCGGTGGTTGCGGATTTTACGGTAAAGAATACTTTGCGGGCGTCGACATGCCGTCGAGCCAAAACGGCGTGTGGTTCTTCCAATATGTGTTCGCTGCGACCGCAGCAACCATCATATCTGGGGCTGTGGCTGAGAGGTGCAATTTCATTGCCTACATATTCTACAGCTTTATCATATCGGGTAAGTAAATACTAGTATATAGATACACGAAAAGTGCGTGCACCCGAGTCCGAATTGAGTTCTCCGAAATTTCAGACGCATAGACGGTAATCGGTGGTGAGGCGTGTGCTTATTTAGAGATTATTCTCCCATACTCGAAAAAATGTTTTAAATAAGAAATTCTGGTGAAATTTACTCTTATATACGACGGTTATCGACCCAATTCTAACTACATTTATAATGTTATATAAACAATAAGATAATAGGCATGATCGCATAATATACTATATTAGGTATTTAATTTATATTTTTAAAAATTTTCCAAATTAACAAAAAACTACAAAATATGAAAAATAAAATATTGTATTTGGATACTACTCGTAGCTGTACTTTAATATGTGTTTATAATTTGTGTGCTCACTAAATTTTTACCTAGGCCACGGCTAGATGTATGCTATTACATTATGCGTACCGATTACATGTTGTCTATATATTAAACCTGTATAAATCACTTGTATGATCGTATAATTATTAATTACACAATATGTTACGTGTAATAATCTTATACCCCCCTCAACGATACACCCTTTAGTTCAACTTATCGTGTGTATCACCAGGGTATTTAAATACCATGATCGTGTATTAAATAAATATTACGTTTATCTCTTATGCATTCCGTGTTTCAGGTGTGACGTATCCCATTGTCTCGCACTGGATTTGGTCACCCGACGGTTGGTTACAGAAAATCGGATATTCCGATTTTTCCGGCGCCGGGGCTGTGCACCTACTATCCGGTACCTGTTCGTTCGTCGCAGCATTGTTCATCGGCCCCCGGAACGGACGTTTTAGTACCGTCGCTCCAAATGAATATAACGGACACTCAATGCCGGTGAGCTATTAGATTACGTCTGTTATATTATATTATTACCCGGAAACTATCCTAGATCATATGTTAATTCTAGTAAAAGGAACGGGAATATAATTAAAAATTAAAACCATTTAGGTTTATAGATTTTCCTAATCACCTACCTAATAATTACGGATACTATGTGGTAAGTACGCATCATTTTACACTTGCACTATTCGATTAGGTAACAATATTTTCGTAGCCATTTTATTATCAAACTATATATTTAAATAACTATTGATCAGTAGGTACCTACTGATATTAATACATACCGTATTTTAATACTCCATCATTTACTAATGGTTATTTGTGTTTAGCTAGTGGCCACGGGGACCCTGCTGCTCATATCAGGATTCTTGTCGTTCAACGGTGGTTCTCTGGGCCACATTACCAATCCTGGTGACGGAATCGTAGTGGCAAAAAGCATAATCAACACCATTTTTGGTGGCAGTGGCGCAGCATTAGTGATACTGATTCTTGCCAAAGCCGGTGTGGTAGGCGAGTCCAGGTGGCCGTTCGCGATGACTATCAACGCCATTTTGAATGGATTAGTACGCATAATATTAAATATACACTTACTCACAAATCCTTACTTCAATAGCTTATTTTTGAGGGATATCCATAATGTATAGATGTACCTAGCCACCTGTGTATATATGTTCACACGATCTATCATAATTTATACGTAATTTTTGCTCAGGTCTCTGTGTGTGGAGGTGTAAACGAGTACACAAATTTGTCTGCGACGATGATCGGCATGATTGGTTGTATTATTTACTTAGTTTTGCAATGGATTATTCCTCGTTTAAAAGGTACTCTAAACATTTATTACTACAATATTGTATCATTAACGTATAATACTCGTGCATGTAAATTCACTTAATTTCATTGATTTTCATTTAACAACAATTTTATTCAAACATATTCAAGCTTTAATATTATTTTTTTTTTTCGTAACTTTTACATGAATAATACATTATAGTTATTATTATAATATATAATTCTTATATTTTATTCAGTGGATGATCCGTTAGAAACAACTGCTGTTCATTTTGGAGGTGGGTTATGGGGAGTAATAGCTGCACCGCTTTTTATAAAAGGAGGATTTTGGAACAATCCAGATTCTATGCCAGTAAGTTAATGTTTTTATACTTAAAGTTAAAAATAAGTTTTTATTTATCGTCACGAGATACTGCTTAAAAGGTATTTCTGAGTATAAAATAGGTTATAATAGTCTTGTAGGAATGTTTAAGAATTTCAAAAATCAAAACATCGACTAATTCATTAGTCATTAGATACTTATTAAAGAAAAATTAGGAAGAACATGCTTGGTGAATCACCTTATTTAAACAATATCTGTGAAAAGAATAACGCATTTATAGAAAAATATATAAATAATAAATATACAGTAAAACCATTATTTATATTTTCTATTGTTTTATTTATTTTGAAAACGAGTTGATTAAATAAATAGGTAATTATACTCTATTATCTAATATGTGTATTTAGTCAAATGTATATACATGCAAAACAATAAATTATAATGTAGTTGATTTTGAAAAATATAATTTTATTTACTCTTTACAGCTATTGAAATCGAATTTAATTGGCGCCGGGTCAATTATTGCATGGTCAGTAATTAACAGTGTAATATTGTTTGGATTTCTTAAAGTGTTTGATCTGCTCCGAGTGTCCACAGACAAAGAGATTATAGGTAAATAAATATTTTGTAATATCATAATTATATTGTAGATAAGTAATAAATAAGTAGGTAGGTAAAGACATGAATACTATAGTATTGTCTATATCTATTGATATGTAAGTACATTTTCGATAACTTACATTATATGTTGTGATGTACCTATTCGTGTATTTATAATTATGCGATATTCTTTTAGGTTTAGACATAAGTCTTCATAAAGAGCCAGCATACCCAGTGACTAACATTTCAATTGAAAATGGACATAAAAGTAAGTGATTAATTTATACATAACTGCAGTCTGCAATTGTAAATTATATAAAAAAAAAAAATTTAATTTTTACCTGATAATAGAAAAAAAATAATACTAAAAACGGTTGATATATACCTAATATAGTAGCTACGTAAATATTATATAAAGATAAGATTTCACATGTGAATTACTTATAAAAATATTATACCTAACATAATTTTAAAAAAATGTTTAAATTTTACTTTTATTTTTTAGTTACTTTTTTTGAATTTCAACACTTGATTTTAATTTTATATCCTGAAGCAGAATATTTTCCCAAAAAATTTGTTATTTTTTAAATTATTGAATTTTTAATTTAATCGATCAGTTTCATGTAGCTGATTACATAAGCTATAATTAGGTACCTATATAAATGTAGAAAATAATCAAGTAAAGAGAAATCTTCACAATGTTTTTCAATATGATTTCCAAGAATCATTCGATTATAATGGAAAAATTCATTTTCTCTATCATATATTTTTAATTTAATTTATTTTTCAGGCAGCAAAACCACAACCATCAAACACGCCTATGATAATGTGGCGATGCAACATACCATCCTACCGTGAGCAGATATTTCACCATTTGTATTTATGTACATATACAACAATATGTCAATATATCTATAATATCTCGTAGTCATAGGACAATAATACGTATAATATAATAATATGATAGGTGTATACTGTATAGTTATGTACAATGTGCATATATTGTGTTGTATGTTTTACCAGTCGATTTATTACCATTGTACCTAAAGATAACAGAGGTAAATTACCTCAGATAACATAATATTATAATATAATATGTTGTGAGTATATTATACTTATTATAGTATAGTACTGCACGTGTTTCTCAGGTCACCAACTGCCCATAGTGATGTGCCCATTGGAAGGGATGTTAGACACAGAATATAGGTAATTTCTTATTTGACTTCATATTATAAAGGTACTTATTAGTAAGGTTTTACGCTATTTAAACTCTCAACATGTTTGAATTATCGTGTTATTTCCCAAATTAAATAAAAATTGTTTAGGTTTAACGATTTCACAAGTCATTTTCTCAACCATAGTGAAATAGTTAAGATTTTCAACTAGGTACATGGACATCCATTGGGGGGGACAAGACAGGGCACTTGCCCCCCCCCCCCTGGAAAATATTACCACAATATTACCTTATTACCGAGGCAAATTATTTGTTGAAATCACATTTAAGATATGAAATAAATATAAAAATATACTCATTGTTATTGTATATTAACATCATAGATAGGTCGTATTCTGTAGTCCGTATAACCTATACGTAAAATTATTTATCGCAGATAATTTGTGGTAAATCTATAAAGATCACAATAATATAGGTACTACAAATATTTTAACCTAACGCAAAAAAGGATACTTTCATTCAGGATGTCATTAATATGTTTGGAATAAAACGAAGAAATTTACAGTTCTTATTTACTGATACCGAATAATATACTTAATTATATTATTTAATTTCTATTTTTTTATATACTTAATAAAATTATTATTTATTTATTTATTTATTCGTATGGCAATTATTATTTATTAATTTATTTTTTCATATGCCAATTATTAGGTATATATTTATTTATTTATTCGTATGGCAATTATTATTAATACACTATATATATATGTATACAAATAAAAATATAACATGCATGTATAGTGTATACATTTATATGTGAAAAATAACATTAAATCTTTATTATCTTACATTCGAAAATTTTTTTATTTTGACCCCCCTAAAATATTACCTGGGCGCCTATGACTAGGTACCTCATTTAATATATTTTGATGACGAGCTAAGTTGACCACACGGTTTACAGATAGTGTATAATAGTATCTTTATATCTTGTCTAGCTATGTTTCAATGGTTGGTAACCAATTCAGAGACTAAAATCATGACCTATAGTAGTAGGTTAAAAACCTACTATGATAAACTTAATAAAGTATTCTAAATATTTAAATTGTACCATTTGTACCTATGTAACCACCTACATAGGTGATAGCCGATAGGGTACCTGCTAAATTTAAGCTAAGTATCAAATAAATTACGCTAAGTTTAGTTCGTTCACACTGGTACTTACATATTATTATTTATAATGGCGAAGGAGGTCTAAACTGCATTTATGCTTATTTGTTTCCTTGTATAATTATAAATGATTAGATTGGTTTTTAAGGACTGTATTTTATCAATAATAAACGAAATCCCTAGCCAATGCCGGATTTAGAACAGGTGCCGCCCAAATCCCAAGAAAATTAATGTAGTATTTATTTCTCAAATTCATAGATTTACTTCTATGTATATTAAATATTATATAACATTAATTTACGCAGTTATATAAATGCATAAAATATTTATATGATTTTTTTTTCCATTTCTTACAAAATTTGCCGTAATGCGGTCCTAGGCCCGGGCCTCACAGGCCTAGATGTAAATCCGGCCCTGTTACTAGCTCATTTCGTTTATAGCCATATAAGTGGTATATGCTTGATTATGAATGATTCAAAATGTATTCGTGTAGTTAGCTATATAATATATAATAAGTATAATTTATTATGTATACATTAATTTATACTTACTTATATAAAAACATATGAAATGTTAATTGTAAAAAAATGTTTATTCTAAAATATTGTACACATAATTTTTATAACTTAATATTAAAATATTATAGTTAAACCTGCAAACATTTATCCTATTTAACCTTTCCAGTCAACAGTTAATCATCATATGACTTTAGTTGTCATTGGTGCTCCATAAAATATACCAAATGCATTTTTTTGATAATAATCTAAAACTAATTACAGCAAACAAACTTATAAAAAACCACTAGACAAAAAATAAAACAACAGCATCAACCTTTCCATACCGTGCACGATATAAAAATAAATCTTTCGATTTCTTATTATTATTATCTATACATTTCCATCAAATATCTTTCATTTATTTAAAAAGAAACTGAATTAAATCTTTTAAAATAAATTATTATGAAGAAAAAAAAAAATTGAATCTTAAATTTTGAAGTTTTGTTACTTACTGAAGTCATCTCTTCATGAGATTCATGTCATTGTATTTAATTTTCTTCACAATATTATTTACTATTTATGTAAATCAGATTGTAAATAATATATTTTAATGAAAGATATAATAGTTATGTACTTATGTCCATTATGGATACAAATGTAGGTATTTATTAAAAATGAGGTAACCTAACCTACCTAGTTATTCAAACAATCATTATTAGTGATGATTGATAGGATTATTAGGATTTATAAATTATAGTCTAAACAAGTCATTTAATTTACAATTATTTTACCTTCCTTTTTCATTTACATTCTTTAGGTGATATTTGTAGTTTATATTGAAAAACACCATGAAAATACCATAACTATTTAGAGATAATAATGTTTGGATAACAATATTCATATTATACATAATTTAATTTAATACCTACATTTAGGATGATTTAAGTAATTTTGTACTTGTACACATTCTATAAATACCAAATAAGTTTGAAAAAAATTAACAAATAAGAAGTGAATATCTGGTTGCATATTGAAAAATCGCTAAATTTTAAGTTAATTAATAACAATTAGTGAAATGTGTCACATGATTCAGTAGCCTATGATGGATCTATTTATAATATATTGATCTATCTATTTACTATTAAATAAATATTTTATGCAATATGGTGTAAGAAGTTTAATATTTTTATAATGATTAAACTTAAATAATTTTATTTTTGATCTTTAATATATTTTTATAAATTAATCTCATTAGTAAATTGAATCTTAATAACCAGCCAATTTAATTTTCTGAATATTTGTAGAAGACAGGAAATTAAATGTGTTGTATCCAAAGTACTAATTGAAAATGAGCTTTGTGATGAACCTAAAAAAACTTTTTAATGAGAACAATTAATTAATAATTTTAATATATTTAATTTACCTGTAATTTGATTTAAACAAAACATTTATTGTATAATCGTTTATATCAATTATCTTTTTTTTCTCTTAAAATGATTTTATTATCTTTGATATTTATCTAAAAAAAATTTAATTAGGACACATTTAAATATTTTATTTTGAAAACAAACATTTTTACAGAATATATTTTTAATTTTCATCTTAAAAAATATCAATTTAATACTTAATGTTGGCAAATATTTGTAATAGCACTCATAAAATACGTAACCTGTTTCCATATTAAATTTTTTAATGAAAGTACTGAAAATATACAATACAAGGAATTTATTTGTTAGTAGGTAGTTCTATACATTGCTTTTATATGTTTCACATTTAGTTTTAATTGGCAAACAACAGATCTAGTTATATTATTTAGCTCTGTAAAATTATAAAATAGTTTTAAGATAATTAATCCACGATAAAACTGATTTTTCTCTTATAGACTGTAGTATAAATATTTTTTCTTCTTTTTAAATATTCAAATTATAAAGGATAACTTTAAAACATTGAACTCATTGTCATGGTGTATTTAGGCCAGAACTCCTAAAGCTACAGTACTTTTAAAATATTTAAATAAAATAAGATAAAATATTTTTTTTTTTATCAAGCAAAGACTTGAAATGTTAATTTTTAAGTATACAATGTTATTTTTTAAGTTGTAAGTAATAAAACATTGATATTAGTTTCTAGCATTAGAATTCTATTTTAGTTTCTAGTATTACTATTTAATAATTTAATTTTTGTATTTAAAGGGGTCTCTTATTCCTAATAATATATACTAGTATATCTAAAGTTCGTACAGATGTTATAACAAAAAATATTATCCTACTTTAATGAATTAATGTTTAACTCATTCTTTAAATTTAAGCATTTGAAAGAAATTTGTCCATGGCCAACAAGAGAAAGATAATAGGATAAGTTTTCTCATGAACAATAGTATACTAACAAATTTTTATGAAATTATCAATAAAAAAATGTATTGATTTTTCCAAGGTTATGTGTATAAAACATAATAAAATAAAACATATTTAATTAAATATGAAGAACTCTTCATAGTTAATACAATTCATAAATAATATGTAAAGGTTTTAAAAATAATGTCATGTGGACTATAACAAAACACTTAGCACCTTATGTGGTATTAAAATATAATCTTGCATCAGTTAAAAATTTATTTTTGATTGATTGATATGGTTTCAGTATATTGACAGTCAAGTAAATTTTTATTAGCTAGTTCAGTGACAATTTACAATTCTTCCAATTTTCAAACCTAAAAACAATTGTAAATAAAACTCAGTACAATAAATTTAAAAATAAACCAGATAAATACATACATTATTTGAAAAATTTAATTAGTCCCAGGAAGGCGGCGATAAAACATTAGTTTCATCACAAACTGAATATCAAAAACTTCACTTAAATTAATAATATTTAATAATATAATTTTACTATACCTACTAACAAACAATAAATGCTTTATTTATGAACATTAAAGAAAATATAATGATTTTCGAGGCTCAATATTAAAGTATTGAACGCATGACAAATTTAATTAATTTTGTTCAATTGAACGAATTAATAGAAAAACTATTATCTTCAATTTTGCAATAGATGAAAAAATTTAAATCGAAAAATTATTTTTCGATTTGAAATTTTGAACGTTGAAAATGTTGAAATGTTGAAGACTTGAAGTTGAATATTGTGATATTGTGAATTTCGTTATCTGATTTATGAAATCATGGAATACCTAAACAACTTGTCGTCGTTTACACCATGATTTAATGTGAAATTGTAAATAACGAATTTTATTTGGTTTAGAAATTCAGAATTTTGTTATTTAAAATATTTGACTACTTTATTTTTTTAATTATTTATGTATCTGATATGTTTGTTATTGCTTAAACTTAAATAATTACGTAATAAATAATATCTATTTAAATTGTGTATTAAATGTTTTAATCCAAGAGACAAGTTACTTAGCCGCCGAAAAGACGCAAACAAAGTAATGAATAAATTATTTGTTAACAAATAACATTTAACAACTGACTAGTGACAACGGTTTTTACGGTTTTTGTTTAACTATTGATGTGTTTTACAAAAGTTTTATTAATCTTATAGCACCTATTTCTTTATAATTTATTACTCAACAGTCATCATTGTGTAGTTTTTAAACTTATACATAAGTAATAAATTACAATATTATTTTATTATAAATATTTCGATAATAGCCTGTTATTATTATTAGTCTTTACACGGAAATATAACAAAATGGACGATAATTGTACTCCGAAAATACTGCGCTCCACAGCAAAATTACCAGAAACACCAGCCTTGGAACGCATTGGATATGGAACAGGTATGTTTTTTCTAAATCTATGTAAATTTTCCATAATGTTAACTCTTATAATGACCTAGGTGTTGGTGTGTTCAATTTGCAAAGAAAAGATCAGTCGCCGTGGGCAGCAAAAATTATTAGTCGTAATACTGGTAGAGATCGCAAACAGTTTAGCAACCGTTTGCAGTTGGAAGCAAAAGTGTTATCGTCACTCAACCATCCTAATATAATTGGCTACAGAGCATTTGTCAAAAGACCTGATGGCCGAGAAGTATGTATCTACAATTTAAAACGACTTCTATTGTTTAAAAGTTTTCTTTAAAGCTTTTTTGAATTTTAGGTACTGTTAATGGAACAATGTGAACAGAGTTTAATTGATTTGATTGAAATACGCAAGGAAGAAAATCTTGGACCATACCCTGTAGAATATATTACAAAAGTTGCTGTGGACATTGCAAAAGCCTTAGATTATTTACATTCTTCTTTGGTATTGCATGGAGACATCAAATCTGGAAATATTTTAGTGAAAAGTAAGTCTGTTGTAACTATTTGTACCTAAATTTGTGTACTATAGTGAGACATTTACCAAAACAATTACTTTCAAGAGTAATTGTTCAAGGATTGTGGCTATTATGACTTATGTTTCATAGCATACATTTCGCTTCTAGTTCCAATATTGCAGCTTAATATATTTTACTCTGATAAAAAGTCAAAAACAATATTACTAGGAAACAATTAAAGTAAATTTTAATTAAATTTAATGTAAATCATAGCCCTCATAGGCCATTAGTTTTATTTTAAACAAAAAAATTTTATGTATTTCATAAAAATTAATAACAGCAGATTAGCTGCAGTCACGATCATTGTTTTCTATAATAATTACTAAAGGAGACAGACGAACTTAGCTATAAGCCACGAATTGATAATTTCTACTATTACCACTTTAAGACCTCTGACCTGTTAGAACAGTTTTAACACTATATTATTAACATTGTTACTTTAATTTTAACATTATATTGGTCCAAATGATCCAATAATGTACAAAACTTAAATAATAAACATTCTTACAGATTTTTTGTATCAATATTCCAACTAAAAAATTGAATATTATATTATTTATATTTTAATAAAAAAACTAACAAATATTATGGGAGCAAATAAAAACTTCTTAGATTATTTTTTAAAGCAGTATCCTAAATGAAGGTACTATTTTTATGTGTTTATATAATTAAACCATAAAACAGTTGAATTATTCATTTTATTTTTTAGTAACCATGAAAAATAAAAAAATAAAGATCCATCATCTGATATATTTCAATGTTCTTTTTAAAATATAAAATGACTATTTTTATTATTTAAGTTTAATTAAATACAAGCATAATTAATATATGTTTATAGGTAATTTTTTTTAATATTATAAAGTTATATTTTATTACTCATGCTTTATGACATTATAACATATTATATAACATTAAATAATAATACATGTGAAAAAAAAACCAACCAGTAATAGAACTTAACATTTTTTTAAATTAATTATAAATGTATAATATTGATTAATTTAACAATTAAACCATTTAACAGATCCCAAAACTTTTTTAAATTAAGTTATAAGAATATAAAACAAAACAAAAAAAATAATGAAAAATTGTAAATTCTTCTATTGTGGTTAGATTTGTGACTTTATAGGTTAACATTAAACGACAATACAATAAGTTATTTACTTGTATTTCCAAGATTAATTGGATGTTATAATTTTCACAGATAATTTTGAGATTGTAAAGCTTTGTGATTTTGGTGTCAGTTTACCTTTAAAATCTGATGGAACATTGCATAAAATTAAAGGCTGTAAAGCAATTTACATTGGGACTCCTTGTTGGTCTGCTCCAGAAGTATTAAAAGGTGAAGAATGTTTGGGAGCCATCATTACAAGTAAAGCTGATATTTTCAGCTATGGCTTAGTACTTTGGGAAATGATGACATTATCATTTCCAAACTCAAGCACTGCAATTGATGAATCATATTATACTGGTATCAGTGACGACTTGGATGCTCATTTAGGTGATTTTTTTTTAACCAATTAACTTTTTATCTATTTTAGTATATTAATAATTGTAATTTAAATATATTTTTATTCAGGTGAGCGACCACCATTACCTGACTATTTAGCAAAGGATCTGAGGTATAAACAAATTGTTGAGCTGTTCAATATGTGTACAATACAAGATTATAAAAAGCGACCTTCAGCAAAACAAATATTGCAGTTTATGGGTATTTACTAACCTTTAAACAGTTATATTTTGTCCAACTATAATTTTAGTACAACTAATCAAATTATTTTTTTAATTTTTGATGTATTTTATAGTTTATAAGTGTACATAAAAAAACATCTTAATTGTTTATAATATGTTACCAATAAAAATGTCTTCAAACTTATGAAAGTTATCATATTCTAGCAGGATCTCTAACTATTGATACTAAATTATATTTAATTTCTAAACTTTAAAAAAAATTATAATATCTATTTTCTTCAGAAAAACACATTGTATTTTAAAACTAAATTTTAACTTAACATCTTAATTCTTACAGAGTTAAACTCACTATTTTATTCTTGTACTATTATTTATTTACTATAAATGTTTTTGTAATAATATCAAAAATTGTATTTTATTATATTATTGAATAATTAGTCTAAACTATTTCAGTTTTTTTTTTTTTAAATCATATTTAAGGGTTAAAAAATGTTTGTTACATTTTAAATACTTTTTTTTTGATATCACATTTAGAGCAGTAAAAATGTTTCAGTCTGCGACTAGGGTTACTACTTTACTAGTAGGAAATTGGATCTAGATGGTACTTTGGCCTAGAGAATCAAAACAAAAAAAATGTTCAATAACTTTAGAAATAAATCAATTTTAAGATTTTTGGATTGATTATTAGTTAGGTTTTATTCTAAAAGCTTTAAAATCTATCAATAAATGTTATATAAATAGCTAAAAATTACAATGAAAACAATTCTTTTTGGCCACAAATATACTATTATTGTGAAATTGATGGTTTTTATTTTACTACTAAGTATAAATTTGATTAACATTTAAATGTTTATGAAAGTTTAATATATAAAGATTACAAAAATGACGTCAAAAAAATCACTAATAATTATTTTCGATTACACTGTTGATTTTAGAATATACATTCTAAGAAACCTTAGAATATATATTCTAAAATCAACGATAATACCAACTATAATGCAGCATTCTAGTTATGCTATTTCTTCACAGTCATGGTTTTTTGTTATCATATTTACACATGCAACACTGCTACGCTCAATATAATATTAAGCTTTTAGAATACTGAAAGTCAATATTATTTTGTATTTCAAATAAAATTGCAATAAATAATAAATTATAATAATTAAACAAACCGCAAAAAAATGATTTATTTGTTAAATTGAGCTTCGCATAACAACAAAAAAAAAAAAAAACTTAAACTAAAAAAAAAAATATAATAAGTGGGGAGTTTAACGGTACAATAGAACGGAAAGAAAATATTAATTCATAAGTGTCAAACGAGAAAAAATTTGTACACGTATAATTTGTTTGCTAAACGATTTCGCGTCAGGTTCACAGGGGGGGGGGGGGTACTTGTGTTACGTACACGACGTATTTGGTTAGTTTTGTAACACTATTCAACAAAAAAAAAAAAACACACACACTAATATCGAACAAAAAATAATGCAATAATAAAAATACGATAAATTATTCGACGACGAACGTATTATAAATATTAAACTTACGAGAAGAAAAACAAATATTCTATATGATTATTATGTAGTTAAAATGTTTAACGCTTTCGGTTTCGTCGCCGCCACGCAATATTATAAATATTATAATAATACACAATACATATTATGTTTGAGTAAAAGTACAATACGCACGACTAAAAATATTTTAATAATATATATATATATATTATAATAATTAACAATACGACTACGAAATACTTCAATAATATATAATGTTATGCACATCACGTACAATTATGTACAATTGTATTATTATTGGTATACAAAACTAATAAAGCTGAACACACGCGTTTTCACAAACGTACAAAGAGGGGAAGAAAAAAACATATATTTTTTTAAAAAACGCGAAAAAAAACACAATAATATTCAATAATATATAATAGGTTTATATATATATATATATATATATATATATTATAACATTATAATGTAACGATAAAAGAACAAAAACGATTCAATATGAATCATACACACACACACACGTACATACCAGCTTGCATGTCGCATTGTCACAATATACATACATTTAATATGCTGAGTATTGCGCGTGCGCGTGGAGGTATACAATATTTATATACCATCATTACGGTATCGATCGTATAACACGTTATATATCGCAACAGTAATTACTATTACTATATATATTATAATAAACGTTTGATTCGTGGATCGCGTACGGGATATGCGGCGGCGGCGGCGATGAAGACAACGACTTCCGGCGGACGGGCGCCAACATTTTACCGCCGTTCGAACATTTTCTTCCGGTCGGCCACCACGCCGCACATGGCCGGCGACCTCAGCAAGATGCTGTTGGCCCTGCACAGTTTCTTCGGAGACCTCTTCGGCTCTGCGAACAGTAACGCGTTTTGCGGTCATTATACATATATTATAGGGCATACACACATGGTTGCAATATCATTTTTTATTCGTTTGACCACACAGGGCGGTCACTTAAGTGGGTCCAGTCTTATTACTCGTAATGACTACAATGCCGGACCGAACGATTATTTGAGCAGTTAACCGGACAAATTTATTATTACCTACCTAATCTGTCGGAAAAGACCGAGACGAAATCGATTCGAAAACAGTGAAAAATCGCGGAATATAACTGGGTCCGGACCGATTTGTTTTTAATCTGACGGAAGAGACCTAGTCAAACTTATTTAATAAAATGCAGAATTCTTGTAATCAATAATAGGCTAACGATCGGTGACACCTGACCGATTTTATTTTAATCCGTGACTGAATTGAATTGGAACAGACCGATTAGTGATTATTGACATTTAATCAGAAATTTTGAATTAAATATAATTATTAAATGGTTAGTTTTAAAGAAATAAAGTTGTACACATAAATAAATTAGGTACATAGTATTTTAATTTCAGAATCGTATGACATACATCATGTTTTCTAACGAATAATTGGCTTGAATAAAGTTAAAACGCTTAATTAAAGTAGTATCATTTTATATTCAACGCTTTAATTTATCATGACCAAGAAAAACACATGCACAAGTTTTAGTGGAAACGGGTAACTCTCGCGTAAGACATAAATATATAATATTACCTGCTGATGGGTTTAGAGCCGAGGGTTCCGCGTGAGTCATGTTACTCGTTTTTGGTGTAACGATTGACCCGTCGTTAATGGGCTCTACAAAATAAAAATAAAAAATCAATAAATTTAATACATTTATTATTTATACACAATATAGTATTGCAGAAACTAGTCAAACAGTATTACGGTTTCGCTACTTAGTAAGTATTATTAGAGTCCGGACTTTAATTTCCTTAATAAGCTTAAAACATGCAATCGATAATAAGTTTAGGTCCTTGCCATAAAAAACAGTATTAATATATTTTTTAGCTAATTTCGTCAAAATATTCAATACATTCACAGCGTTTTCAATAATTATGCACATAATGTTTGATTTAAAATTACATAGAAAGGAGCACACTCACGTTTCTTACATCTTGAATAAAAATTGTTTTTACTAATAAAATAATCTTCTTAAATAAAAGAATAATAAGAAAGTCTATGTTTGTTCAATCATTCGCGATAATTTGTACAACAAAAAAAAAAAAATAATTTATATTTAGGTAAATCAATAAAATAGGACATCTAGTTCAACGTACAGATTTATATTTTGGTAAAATTATGAAATGGAAACAAAAAAAGGAAAGTAATCAAAAACCAGAATATAAGGTACTTAAAAATAGGACTTTATGATTTTAGTATACTATACTCTAAACCTTAAAAACTTAAAAACAATTTTGTACATGTATATTTAAGTTCTAAAATTGGTCTATAATTCTTAACCTCGTCAAAAAGAAGTATTCTCAAAAAATACATGTTACACACAAAAAAATCCAGACTCTAATATTAATGATTAAGTACGATAGAGAAAAAAAAAATGTTTAAATTTATAGTTGTTGACCGACTTTTTGTTCCAGTCGGGCGGACGGGCGTGCTGGATTGATTCCGAAATCTTCATATTTCATTACAGTTATATCAGCTATATTTACCACGTGGTAATAATAATTATTATTATTCACTCCAACGACGTATGTATGCAATGATACAAACACACACACACACACACACACTACTAATAACTAATATTAATAATGTGTTTAGTAATACGTTCTAGCTAACAACACATAATACGTCGAATACGGAATAATGGGTATACCTCCGGCTCCGAATTGTGTATATCTAATGACCTAATGTCATATGACAGAGCCATTGCAAACCGAAACCCGACCATAACCAACAATATGATAACTAAATATATATACAAGAAAAGAATACACCGAAACCAGAGCAGAAAGTGTTGAAAGTGTTCTCGCAGCAGTTATGGTTTGCGAATCGCAAAATATATTCTGAAGGAACGACCCTCGGGAACCCGACCAACCCCCCCGCAAAACAGCCGCCCGCCGCCACCGGTCACGTGCCTGTATATAGGTACACGTCCTCGGTTACTTTGGTTGTGCGTGTGCTGTATAGTGTATACCTCGAGTACGGCTCCTGCTGGCCGCGACGGTCCGCAACTTATTTACCAGTGCCACTACGACGGGCCGATCGACCCGCGTCACAGTCGCGCCATACTGTTCAAAACTGTTCAAAATGCTGTCAAGCGATTCGCCATGCTGTTGTGTGCAGTCAAGCAATAAAAGGTATATATAAAAAAAAATATTGATTATACAAACAGGGATTATATTATTAGGAGGTAGGTAGGTACTAGGTGTGTACAATAAATAATTGTTATATTATTATTATACTACGAGTAAAATAAAAATAAGTATGTATTATAAACAAATAAGTATAAGACACGGGTATATACGGTTATTTACTGTATTATATTACCTATGCTCAGCTATGCATAATAATTATACAGTCTATAAATAGGAATGTATATTATGATTAGCGACAGGACTCGTGATGTTTTTAAAAATATTATCATTTCGAATTGCAATCTAAGTAAAAATGAATGAATGTCAACGGTTGTACAATACTATGCTTACAATAATGTTGCTCATAACTGCATTAATCAAAAAATCATAAGCAGTCATTATATTATCCAAGTTCAAACTTTATGTTCTCGAAAAATTTGAAAAATGGTATAATTAAATGAATTGAAAAATATTGCAATATTCCATCTTATTTCTTAATTTATTTGAATATGTTGGGAAAAAAGATTGTACATGTAAGGTACGCATGTAATAAATAAATTGGTTTGCATTCAATTTTTAGTGCTCCATATGTTTCAACAAGTAAGAACAAAGTCACCTCTATTATATATTTATACTACTTCAATAACCATTACCTTACAACGTACTATAGTTACTACTACTATTA